TCAATTGCTAGCTCTTTCTCTCATCAATCATCACTGCCTCACAATCCGCCACATCACGCTATGTAGGCATATAACTTCAAGAAGGGAACTCCTAATGATATTGAGTCCACTGCTATCAGCTTCCATCATCAGGTGCCTACTCCCCTTCCACACTAAACATCTGCCACCAAAGTTCAAAGACTCAATTGTTAAGTTCAAGAATGCTCTAGGTGAAAAAAGAAGAAATCTCGGGTTGCGCATATCGGTTCGGATATCGGACCATGACAGCACTCTCTCCACACGACACGGAGACTGTTTCCTACTCTATAACTATAACGCAAACAGTCTCTTCCAATGCCGCTCTCCATGAGCTCCTCGATGCGATCAGTCACATCAAATATCATGTGATTGCGCTACGGGAGAAGGAGTCGTGCACCCATCTGTCGTCCATCTCGTCGTTTCTGTCCCCTCGTTTTGCCATACTTCGCCTACGACATGCGCACATGAAGACCATCTCTATTGTCAATTGGCTACTCTTCGTACTCTACAGCTGCCAAAGTAGAGGTCGATGCGTATTACGAACAACTTGAGGAAATCATCCACAGCGAAAAGTTCTCCTACAAATTCGTTGTTGGAGATTCATTGCTAGGCTTGGCGAAGCACAAGAGGAGGAGTTGAAGATTGGAAAGTTCGGAATGGGGGACAGGAACGAGAACGAAAACCGTCTAGCTGGACTCCTGTCTGCGACTCGCCTCTTCCATGGAAATTTTTCTTCCAGAACATGGTACATCACCGCTGGACATGGAAGTCCTCAAATGGTACAACTCATGCTGAACCGGATCACATATTAACAAACAGAAGGTGGTGTTGCTAGATGTTGGTGTAGTACCATCTTTCTGCAGTGGTTCTGAGCAACGACTCCTTCGCGCTAAGATCAGATTCAGTCACAAGCTGGAAAAGATTTCTCAACATCGCACAAAGGGCTCGAAGCATGTTGTATACTACGGATATGTTCTGAATGACGTCTTGTCCCCATAGTGGCAGGTCTTAGATGACCCGACTGAAGACTACGACGCGCTAGTCCGAAGACTCCTCACTTGTGCTGAACAAGCCAAGCTTCCTCGAGTGGGTACCTCCGCTCAGATGCTCAGATTTCAGATGTGCGAAGGATCTTCTCAGGACAAGAAGGAACTTGAGGCTTGACCAGAACGCCACACACCTTGAAAGGCTGCAAGCGAATATCATCTGCAGACAGGCAGTGCGGCGAGACCTTCAGCTATACAGGGGGAAGAGACTATTGGTGCCAGCCTTGAACAGAGCCAGTCTAAGGAAATGATATTGGGATCTCCAGAACCACAGTATTTCACTTTCGTGTTTGAAGAAGGAGGACGGAACAACTACAACATCGAGATTTGAGAAGGAGGAAGTTACACGAGGGTTTTATACCAACCTGACCGATACACGACGCACGTTCGAAAACCAAAGATCCCCACTAGCGGAACCTCGCTTCCTTCCTTCGGAGGTGAGAGTTGCGATTGCGAGCATGAAAAGGGGCACAACTCTAGGCTCCGACAAGATCTTAGTCGACCTACTCCGTGCAGGTGGCTACGAACTTCATGCGCTTCTCGCAACACACATGACATCCTACCTCGAGAAGGGGAGGATCTCCCACCAGTGGAGGAGCTCGCGAATGGTCACTTTTTACAAGATGGGAGACAGGAATGATCTTTGCAACTACCACCCAATAGGCTTCTTAAGCGTGCTTTACAAGCTGTTCACCAAGACTATTCTAACCCGCATATCGCGAACGTAGAATGAAGCTCAAGCTGTAGAGCAGGCCGGATACCGGAAAGGATTCAGCTGCCTAGACCACATCCAAGCGGTCGCGATGGTCATCGAAGTGTGCCGAGAACTCCAAATGCCTCTTGTCCTTTCGTTTGTTGACTATGAAATGCTTTTGACAGCGTCGAAACGAAAGCAGTCATGTCAGCACCGGTGGATCAAGGAGTGGACCCTCCCTACATAAGAACACTTACTGACTGCAGCTCGTTGAAACCGCTCCACCGTCGCTGCAGCGCGACGGTGAAGCGGTTTCAACGATTTCTCCCCATTCCCATAAGGAAGGGTGAGAAATCCTTTCAAACCTTCTCTCATGTCGTTGTCCACATTTCAGGGCGACACTTTTTCACCGAAGCCATTCACACCCACGCTGCAGCGGGTTATGAAGTCGCTAGACTGGGAGGAAAAGACATTCGTGTGGATGGATGGTACCTCTCAAAGCTCGCTTTGCGGACGACATCGTCCTCTTTTCAAGCAGCCGTGCGGAAGCAAAGACTATGCCTGCTGAGCATAATAAAACAGGAAGGAAGGTAGGGCTGCGGATCAACCAAACAAAGACACAGTTCATGAAGATTGCTTGAGCTGACGAAGGTCTAACTAAGATCGATGGTACCCCTATGAGGGAACCACGTCATACGTTTATTTCGGCGTTCCATGAATATGGACAACAACATGAGAGAAGAACTGGTGAGGCGGCAGAAAGCAGCGTTGGAACTTGCTCCGCTCTGTTATTGGTGGGAGGCTTGAGTGACCATTGCATCCACGTCAAGCACAAGTCACAGAGCGCGATGTCTTTTGAGGTGCAGCCACTCAATATCGCGCCGGACTCCGCAGCTCCGATACGCGCAGAATGTCTCGACTCCGCGACCCGGTGGAATACATAAAGAACGCAAAATTTCGGTGGGTCGGTCATATAATGAGAAGAGATGATGACAGATGGACAAGAAGAACAGTCGAGTGGGCTCCCATAGGATCTACACGATCTAAGGGTAGGCCTGCTGCGAGATGGGGGGATGTGCTTGTCGATCACGTGAAACAGCTGCGACAGCAGCTGAATGACTCCTCACATCGCCATCTTCGTCGAACCCTGAGTCTGCCGTGGATGGCGATCGCGAAAAACAGAAGCGAACGGTTTGTTGCTGGTGCTCGGGCATGAGTGAAGACAGCCGTATAAGTATAAGTAAGAAACGAAGAGCGTAACGAACTCATCCACTCTTGCATTCTATGACCGCTTATTGGGCTCTATCCTTTGTTATTAGCCGCTGTTACTAACCATCTACGCTCCGTTTACACTACACATCACCTACGAAAGTGTCGGTGTCCTACTTTTAACACGAAGGGCTCAACAGTTACTGATGTTCTTGTTTGGAGCGCCTTAGCAGTCTCTATCAACAGCTATTAATTCCCTTCATCTGCCACCAGTGATCGCCTTGTGCCGCCTGTACCCTTCAAAATTTGAGTGTTCTAGGTTTGGGGGTCCGGAATTCTTAATTTTCCGTCAATCACACATACATAAACAAGCAAACAAACAAACCTATGAACCAGTACACTTAGCGAATAATATAAAGTAGGATATGGTGAAACGGAGCTATACCTAGTTGGTCCGAGGAACAAATAACTACTTATAGGAACAACTAATAATGCGGGTTGGCGCATAAAAGGCGCGCAGCTTCCGTTCATCAACGATGTAACCTTGCTATTTTGATGATGTGAGATCGTTTGATTAACTCTCTCACTTATAAAGGAACAACTCGGTGTGTCGGTTTGTATGTTTGTCGGCTTGTCGCTTTGTCCGTCCACAAAACTTAATGGTTATCGTCCGCAAAACTTTATGATTATGGTAAAGGTAGTGGGTAAAGGTAGATATGGGAAGCCCAGATCTCACATTTCCTTATATGTAAAGCAGTAAATTGGTGGGTAGGTTGATGGAGTGGAGCTATTAATGTGGAGTAAAGTGAGTACTTCAAAACTGCGATCTCGATATGTACTGGCGTCGTGCTATGAATGGCTATACCAAAATCGGTGGTGATAATGTAGTTAAGTGACCTTCGTTTTTTTTGGGCGCGGGGGGGGGGGGGGGGGGGGGGAGGGGAGAAGGAGCACCGCTTAGGTGAGTTAATTAAATATAAAACTCACGTCCAATCCTAACTTTTTGCATGAGGTAGTCTACACCCCAGCGCTCTTTCCCTCCTGAGGTTTGGGATAAAACTATATTCTTTCGCCAAGTTTCTAAGCACAGTTCATGTCGGCTAACCCCTCCTTCTGCACTCTAGCCCTCACTGTTTGATAAAAGCAATGCCCCCCTAACTTGCATTTTCCAACTACTTCGTAGAAGTAAATAATGAGGCGCGGCGTAAGCCGGGCGTTCCGAATGATATATCGGAAATCAGAAAGCTCCAACATTTCATTAGGTCTGTTAAGGGAATCCGTGAAGAAAGAAATACTAGTTCTTATCCCACATCATTATCATAGTGTTGGCACTACTTTGTGAAGTAGATGTAGGCTCGTAGACAGTTGATGACTTGAAATGACATTTGAGTGGTAGTAATTGAGACTGTTACCATTCACTGCTGCAACATTAGTTCTGATACAACACTAGACATTACTCCTGATAGACAGTGAACAAGCAAAATATACAAGAAAATAGCAATGAAATGGGCTCCATCCCGCACCAATATAAAATGATCTTGGCACGCCAAGTGCTAGGAAGAAAATTTATCTCTCTACTTCAAGACTATTACTATGTTATTTTAATAGGGAAGGATTAAGGCAACGACTAACCATTGGAAAACTTCAAAAATACGCAAGAAAACGGCTACAGGCCGTGGCTCCGACTGTGAACAATCATTAGCAGTTGCCTTACCCTGTTTGCCCCGAGTTCCCTAATCTTTGTGACACAGTTACAATACCAGGCTCTCTCCCCTGCGAACGTCCCGCCCCCATCAACTTTTACACGAATTGCCTGAACTTCCCTAAATGTCCCAGTCTTAATAGCCACCCCAAATCAGTTTAGCTCAGATTCTTTGATTTATCTCTTATATTCTCTTTCTCTCTGTTATGTAAACAGGAAATTGGAGCAACAGTTTGCATGCCACTTTTCTTTTCGTACATCGAACGGATCGACAAACATGATGTACATGAAAAAGATGATTTCGAGAAAGGTCCTATTCCAGCGAACCAGGATGTACACTGCACTGGTAAGCCCGTGGGGCGGATCACCATCTCTACTCGAAGAAACATGCGTCGAAGATATCAAAGAAGCACGTATAGTTGATTGTGGTTATATGACGGCTTGCGGTAAGGCCTCTAGCTCGTCGAATCATAAGAGCAGCGTTCTGGACAGAGATGGTGATTCTAGTATTCAGATTCAATCGCAGAAACAATGCTCTCTCCGGGAGTCACTGACGAAAAATTCAAAATCTGTCAAGAAATTTATTCGACCGAAAGGAATTACATTGATAATCTTAAATTGTTACTGAAAGTGAGGTGTTTCTTCCTTGATTCGCAATTTCGAAGGCACTGAATTTCTCTACATTTCAGGTAAAAGACGTTCTGCTGGAGCGCGTCGCTAAAAATAAACCAGTTATGGAGGAGGCAACAATCAAACAAATATTTGGGAAAATCAAAGCAATAGTAGATGTTCATCAGAGAATTATAGCAGAATTAGAGGACTTAATTGAGCATTTTGACAAAAAAGGGCAAAACATCGCAGAGGTTGGTGATCATATTTATTCTGCTGTTGGGTTTATATAGTTTCCAAAACATAGTCCCAATAAGTCACCAGTCACCTTTTCTAGCAACATTAACCACAGTTGATCTGAAGCCATCCGAAGATATCAGTGACTGTAAATGAATGAAAGTCACTGACCCATCTTAACTTTCCCACTAAATTGTAGAAATGTTTGTAATCTAGTTTAGAACTTAATCGAGCAGATGAAGTTGTTAGGCTTCTGCCTTTCACTGAGAACTTGAACCCCATCTTCGAGCTTCGCAATCATGAGCGCGACACCGTTTTCGGGGAGAAAATTCTGCACCCGGGATAAAGTCAAATCCATGGAGAATCTACATCCAAACCATGAAGCTCCCAACTGTGCAAAGACTTTCCTTGATCTTTCCTCTGTAAGTCTTATTATGCCAGTGCTTGCCTTATATGCTCACCCTATTTTCCCCTATATCAGAATGTCTCTTGCCGCCAACCCTTTCTACACGATCGACATCGGTACTTCGAGCCCTCACCAAGGAGGGGTAGTCTACTTATCTTGGAACTTTGAATGGAGACCCAGATGGATCGATAGAGTTTCGAATGCTGTTCACGAAAATGGAAATTAAAACTGCAAAATGGTTTTCCATAAAAAGTTATGGCGGCTCGAAATTTGCTTGACTCTACAGTAGCACACTTGCATATGCGAACTCGTCGCTTCGTTATCAAGTGCCAACGTGGCCTAGTGGTAGTGGTCTCGCTTTACAGGTGCTCCACGAGGGTTTGCTCCCCGCCATCGTCGGCATTTTTGCAGTGTTTTTTTTCATTTCATTGAAGGCTCTCTGAACCTTTTCTGACATTTGTTTAAGTGAACGCCTTATTTCTGCCTTTAGTTTCTCTCGTCGCTCCTATCCAAGGAAGAACGGTTCTGCACTTAATCAAGTGATTGTATTCCATTTTCGACTCGAAGAAACATTTAATAGCGAGGTGCCAGAGATGTATAAGATGCTTGTGAGGAACACAGCATTAATAGGAGCAGCTGAAAAAAATGGATGCAACACACTTGTAGTTCACTAACTGCGCACATTATACATGATGCTCCTCTACAACCGGAGACAAAACAGTC